CTAGTGCATTTTGAAGCACAATAAGGGGTTAGAAAATTTCCTTTAACTGTAATATCAGTTCCGTCTACCCGTGAGGGGAGCAAAGACCTTTCTCACTATAACCACTAACAAGCAACTCAATAACTAAGGTAATCAAAGTCTTCCTGCAAAGGAATGTGGTTGACTTCTCCCAACACTGCTGATGGTCAGACCCCATTCCTGACTACCCAGAAAGGTAAGCAGAAGGTGAAGGAGATCTGGAGGGGAGGGCCTGAATCTCTGTAGAGCTAAAGGATGTTGATTTCATTAATGAAAATCACATTCGAATTCCTTCTAAGAAATGATTCATGACATCAAAATGCCCTCATCAGCTTAAACAGCATCCTTGTGTATAGAGAGGTCTCGGGGTCTGCCTCGCTGGTGGTGTCAGAAAACTGCCATCACCTTTCTTGATGGATACACGTGTCTCGGGCAGTAACTTGATGGGGACTCGAGAAGAAAATACAAACAAATAAACAAAGCTCCATGGTGGGTGTTTTTGATTATGTAACTCCGAACCGGGTTGGGTTTTCTTCCTGGGAGACAAAGTATTCCATTTCCATCAAGGGAGAATGTTCACGACCCTTGCAATATCTTCCTAGAGTCACTGCTGAGCTGAAGCATAGCCATGGAAAAAGGGCCTCCTGTCTCCTGCCATCCAGCAGAAAGGATCTAAAGCCTAACCACATGAAGACCATCCACAGACCAGCAGCCTCAGCAGCATCCAGGAATGTGTCAGAAGTGCAGAACCCCAGATGACTCCCATGAGATTTCTACACCCCTTCAGACTTACGAAGCACTTTTCTGACTCTCTATTCTAATAGGTGTGGATTATTTTCTTGAAAATATTCATGATGCTTCTATGGAAGCACTGTCTAATCCACAGGCAGCCATTTATGTGAACCTTAGCCAGAAGCTCCAAGAGAAGTCTTCCTAAAAATCAAGTTTATTTACCATTCAAGGCTTTGAAGTTCTCAAGCAGTATAGATGGTATGAAGACCTTCTTAGGGGTTTCCTTCCAAATTAGCCAATGCTGCTTGTATTCACCTGGTCTAATCGTTCTCCAAGTGAACAAAAACCTGATTTTACAAACCAGTGGAGCAGAGTCTCTCTTTGGCTAGAAGAATGAGTCTCAGAGAGTGTGTTTTATTTCTTCATTAGCGTGCCGTCACAGTGAGTGATCACTAAATGCGGGGCTGCATAAGAATGCTGGGGTTAAAGATAGCATAATGAACAAAGAAGGTGCCTGATTATCATGGCTGTCAGCACAAGGGAATTGGGTTTGTCACCTGGCTTAACCAACTGGTAAGAACTGATTAAAAGCTGGAATCAGTTTGAAAGGATCCCTGATGTTTATGTTCCTTTCCATCCCCACATCTTGTCAAAAGAATCCGATAAAGCTGGGGGTGAGGCATGGGGGAAGGGCTTCATTCTGTTGGGTTATTTGAACAAAAGGTTCTTAGAGAAACTCCCACTGGCTTCTCTATCAAAATGCCTACTAAGCGCTGTCCAACAGACCTTTCGGCGATGGCAGAAATACTCCGTGACTGTCCAGTACGGTCACCACTAGCCACCTGTGCCTATCAAGCCCTTGGAACATGGCAAGAGTAAGTGAGAAACTAAAATTACTACCGTCAAGTTTAAAATTCAGTTTTAATTTAAAGAGCCACATGTGTCTAGTGGCCACAGTCATGGACAGTACAGGAAGGGAGAAATCTAGAATGAGCGGTAAACTAGAATAGATTATTCTGTGGCCTAACTTACTGGTATACCTATTAGCAAAATACGGTCACCTCCTTAATGATCCCTGTCTGTCTCAAAGGAGGCCTTAAGAGTCTTCTGTAGTTAATGTCTATTAAATTAAGGGAAAAAAAAGAACTTAAAAATAAACTGCCCAGAAGTGGTCTCAACTTTGTATTTACAGTACAATTTACGGGGGCAACTTTTAAAAATACTGATGCCCAAGTCTTTTCCCCAGAGATTCTGGAGTGCTGTGCAGCCACTGGGTTATTCAATTGCACAGTCAAGTGAGGAAAGCAGCGCAGAGAGGCAGTCAGACGCATGGCAATGTGCTCTGGAGCTAGTCTGGGGGAGGCAGTGACCAGCTGGAGACACAAGAAGGGGACAAACATTTGTTAGCTTCCTACCATGTGCTGGACCTTTACAAGTATTTTCTTATTCAACTCTTAAAACAACCCTGCAGGTAGACCCTGAGAATCCCATTTGACAGATGAGTAAGCTGCAGCTTGGAGCGGTTTAACAACCTCAGAACTTGGTGGTGTTAACAGTACTGTGCTTCCTCTTGACTCAGTAAACATTAGAATAACGCAAAGCGCTTGAGTCAGTGCCATGTAGGCGGGAGTTCCAAGAGGATGGAGCAGGAGCAAAAAAGATCACAGATCGCTTTGGTATTTTCATGGACCTTTCATCAATGATACAAAGAGCCCCCAGTCTTCCTCTCTTCACATCACTGAAAGCGATCTGTGAAAAATGAAAAAGTTGCTTCAGTTCTTAAACTTTTTGGTGCCCCCAGTTGTTGAAATCCATATTTTCCTTTTCTCATTTGTATCCTCAAGATAAAGCCAATAATTTATTCTGACACAAACATAAGAATGCCAAGGGCTCAGCTACCGCACTTAGACACACAGGGCAAAGCATTCCAGTAACTCAGGCAGATGGTGACCTCTGGGGTCTCCCAAAACTCCCACGTTGCAAAGCTGCAGTAGCTAAGTGATTGGCCTGTGGTCCTGTAAGGCTGCATGACAGATCAGAATCATGAGACTAAAAATACCTGGGAGCAAGACCCAGTCCATCTTGCCATCAAAGATGAATTTTATGAGGTTCATAACACAGTCAAGCCCCCACCTCTGGAAGGCTCTATCTGTATGAAAAATAGGTGGTAGACAGCATGCTGCAAGTTAAAGACAACCATCACACTGTCCAGCCCCAGTACTGCCCTTTGGGTTTGCTGTCGTGCCCTAAAATCCCACACCTGGACAACTGCTGGCAGCCGGTGTGGACAGAGGAAGAAAGTGTACCACTACCCCAATCACACATCGTGGAACAAAGGATGAGGGTACTTGGAAAAGAAAAAGTCTGGGACTTGAGCTTGTCAAACATGGCTATCCAGAGAAAGCACTTAGTCTAGGGAAGCAACAGAAAATGAGAAAATCCGTGCCCAGTATTCTGGGCTGGTCCTAGTATACTCTTTCCCTCTGGAGGAAGTTTGTGCTCGACCTGGGGGAGTGGGCAAGAGAGCCTGCCAGTGATCTGAGCTACATAAGTCTTCTGGTCGTGCGGCTCTCTCATCAAGCTGGCGTGGAGCCTTGGGTGTGCTCCTTAACATCTCTGAGCTGGCAGGTACCTCGTCTATAAAATGAAGATAATGTCTATTTTATAGATTTGTTATAACATGAGCCTTGTGATAAGGTTTCCTGAAAGTGCCTGATACATTACCTGGGCATCATTTTAAAATGGTTCTTACTACTGCTGTCATCGTCATCTCTGGCTAGAAAAGAAACTCTAGGGGCACCTGGGTGGCTTAGTCAGTTAAGCGTCTGCCTTCGGCTCAGGTCATGATCTCAGGGTCCCGGGATCAAGCCCCACGTCGGGCTCCCTGCTCAGTGGGGAGGCTGCTTCTTCCTCTCCTCCTCACTCGTGCTCTCTCGCACTGTCTGTCTCCCAAATAAATAAATAAAATCTTAAAAAAAGAAAAGAACAGAAAAGAAAAGGAAAAGAAGAGAAAAGAAAAGAAAAGAAAAAAGAAATCGAAACTCTGGAGGGTATGCCAACCTCAGCACAATTGGGATGGATCTGAAATCTCTTCCCATTCCCTTTAGAGGTGATACTTGACTGAATTAAGACAATGGCCTCACAGCCGGCCCAACTGCCCCCAAACCAGAAAATATTTCTATTTGGAGGGGGATGTTGGCTCCAGGCCAGCCAAGATGGAATTTGTAATAGGGAACAAAACAGTAATAGTCATAAACACCGTAAACGCTAAAATATATTGAGTAGCATCACTTTACACATTTATATACTATGTAACCAAAATGAGGGCACTAAATACAACGACATGGAGGAGGTACTGTTATTAATTCCATTCTACAGATGAGGAAACGAGGCTGAAATTTAAAAGACTAAATAAGTGAATTAGCTTCTAACTAGGCGGGCTGGAAAACAAAGCTCAAACCTGTGGGAATCCTGTGTGCCTGGCCCTGGGCTCCATCCCTCCATACACTGACTCACCCAATGGGAGCACCATGGGTGGAACGCCTGGGCCCACCACTCCCTGTTCTGGTCAAGGTCACAGCCATCACAGGGTCTGTGAAGCCCACAGTGCACGTGAAAGAAATGGCAACACCAGGAGCACTGTCCATAGAAAGTGTGAGAACAGATTTCCCTGCTCCCCTGCATACCAAGGTGCCAACCCCGTCCATTCATTAGCCCAGCACTTATTGAGTGCCTGTCATTAAACAGGCATTTATTAAGATCTGGGCCTAAATGTTATGAACACAAAACTATGAGGAAAGAAGGAAGAAGGGTAATGACAATGCAAGCCATGACGTCAGTGCCCAGAACTGAAACCACAGCCCACATGTGATCCCAGCCTCAGAACCCTGCCCTGTACCTGTTTCCCCCCACAGCTGTCAGGCTTCCCCAAGACTCCTGGAGGAAACGCTAAAGCCATTTCGAAATTCCAATCTCAGCTCTAATTACACTGTCACACAAACCCTGAATGCTCTATCTCTGCTCCACAAAGTAGTCTGTGGGCAGCTATGTGCTTCAAAGACAACCAGAATGGCGAGAAACAGCCTTGCTTCTCATAAGCATCTCCCCTGCTTTGAATAAGAGAAGATTCATATTTGATCTAATTTGCCCCTTGCACGGTTATCCTGGGAGAAAGCCTGGCAGTGCCCTGGTGGTAGGTGGTAACGAAAGCTGTTGGCATCGAAGAAATAGAACAGAAGCACACAACTTACGGGTGCAGGGCATAGAGGCTGCATCATTGTCGGCTCTGAAAAAGCCTCGGTCACAGGTGCATGACGTGGCTCCTTCCCAGACTGAGTAGCTATGGGGTGGGCACTTGGCACAGGTAGCATCCGTGGAGAGGGCCTTGTAATATCCAATTTTGCAGGCTATGGGAAAGAAGAAAAAAAAAAACAATAAAATCACTGCTAACAGAAGAAAGCAAAATGTCATCTCCTTGACTCAGAAGAAAGGAGACATTTCTCTTAACTGCCAGTGATCACCTGGCTTCAGAGGCAGGTAAAGCAACCAAAAACATTAATTAATTACAGTCACTCTTTAAATCGTTACGTTCCTGATCAGGTGGCAAGGAGCCCTATGGAAGAAACGTTCTTAAAACCAGTGGCATCAATAAAATTACAGTTAAGTTTACGGGGTGCTTCCCATGTGCAGATACGTTGCTTATATGCACAACACCGTCCCATCCCTATGGCACCTTTTGCACAGGCACTGTGATTAGCTCTACCTTAGACATGAGGAAGACCAGCTTTGAACACGACATTCTTGGTACCAGACCATGCATCAGGTAAATGTCAGGGACCAGCTTTGAGCCAAACATTCTGCCCCCAAAGCTTATACTCTTGGCTACATGCTGTGGAAGCTGAGAGCCTGGTCTTGAACTAACAGTTGGAAGTGTATCCAAGTCCTTGCAAAAAATTATTGCTGATTACTTCCTAATTGCAGGTAAAGGCAATCAAGCATTAAAAAAGAGAGAGAGAGAGAGTTGGTAAGACATGGTCATAATTTCAGGGGAAAGTAGTATAAAGTCCCAACTGCAGATTGTGGAATATAATATGCTAAGATTTTTTTAAGATCAGCAGATATTTTATGTTGACTTTCCAATTAATTAAACCCTCCTGTTTTTCCCTCTCCATTTTTTCAACACCCCCTTCCTCCTCATGCATGCACACCCTCAGGGGCTGCTGCAGAGAACATGGGCCATATAGTTCTTTATGCACCTGACATGATTTCCATGACTTCATCTTTGCAAACACCACACTGACACCAAGAACTGCTTTTACTAATGTGGAAAATCTCAATAATTCTGTGAAACCTCACAATAAAAAATAATTAATAGGGCCTTACTCGCCCCTTTTCCTCCCTATGCCCTTCACCACCACCTCCCAAATCTGTCTCAACCTGAAATAAAAATTGACCAACACCATCAGTATTAAACCCACAGTGACAAGGCTATCCAAAATCAAGTTTTTTCATAAGACCAGCAGTTTAAAAAAAAGGTGACAGTTACCCACAATCTTTCCAGTACGATTCACTTTCAATTTTCTCCATGTATCTCATCTTTAAGATGTTCCTCAACTATCAAAAATACCAGCTGGGAGAAGGACGCATCAGGCATTTTTCATCAGCCCAACCACCAAAGGAGACCCACCGTGCCAGCAACCCAGCAGATTTTCCTCAAATGAGTAGATAAAAAAAGAGCTCCACAAAACTGCTTGATCCTCTAAGGAGATAGGGCCACAGTGGCTTGTCTCATGACTCATCCATCAAGTATCTATACGGCTTCCAGGGGAAGTCTGTTCCTCCCTCTTGCACATCCTGTTGGTATTTTCTTAATCACGCTCTTGTAATGGCAAGCGGAAAGGGAGTTGAGCAGAAGCTCCAGAAAGGCAACACAGTTACTTCACTATGATTAACTAAAGTTGTTTATGGAATTTCCTTTAACGAGCCAAAACTTTATGACGTGTGCAGCACCAACAATAAAAAGCGCTGGGAGATCAATCTTTCCCTTATTTGCTTTTGTCTTTCACTGGACCGAAGAATCTTAGAAAAACAAGTTGCTCCAATGACTGAGATTTATGTGTCTCAAGTTTATACACATCACATAATTAGGTATGGTTCAATATGCAAGGTGCTCTTTGGTCATGCTCAAGATGGCCCTAGGGTTTCGATTAAAATCAGCAACGCCAGCTTTGGGAGGAAGATGCACCAAGGGTCAAGCTTGTCCTTCCCACATCAAACATGACGGGGGCCTGAACTCAGAAACAAACCCACTGGGACCTGTCTGTCAATCTGTCACTCAGTCACAGCCAACAAAGGCCAAGTTGTAGAAACCTGGTGTTAGGTTTGGTGGTGCTAGGACTGCTGAGAAGGCATAAATTGCTTTTATTTTTTCACATCTGGATATTGGATGAAAATTCTCCACATTCCTGATGATCCTTATGCACCTCCCTTCCATCGGGCATCAAAATCTAACATCTCACAGTGGAAGTGGAAGACTGACAAGAAATACTGGCCCCTGATGGATTCATTGCCACATGAAAACAGAGCACGTTCAAAAAGTGGTAAGGAAGAGAAAAACAGAGTATTCCTATTTCCTCAACTTCTATGCTGATAGGACTGCTTCCAGTTAAAAAATCAAATTCATCATTCACAAAAGTCAAATTATAGGATGTCTGGAATTGTCTGAAGTTCAAAAATGAGTTGTATGTTTATGTTAATTTAAAGAAAAAACTGAGATTGCAACTTTATACTTTTTCTCCGTGGCCTTGAAGCCGGCATGAATGTGTTAGCGAGAATAAGTATATTTGAATTCATCCGGCAAATACGGGATTTTTATACCTATTTGGAAAATTGAAGGCTGCCCTTCTCTAAACACCCTATTTTTACTCGCTTTTCCTCCAGCTTTTACCAGCGCAAGCAAAAGTACAAAATTGTCATTGTGCTATTCTCGGCAACCTTGCAGCCCCTAACACATTCCTTTGTCTTCAAATACATTAAGACCATGTTATTAATATTTCAGGATTCTTAGAAAGGATCTCTCAAAATATAGTAGTGGTTTTTCATGCACACGGCCATTTTGCTGCCTACATTCAAAATGACCTACTAAATTGATGGTTGACTACATTTCTTTGCTCTCGTGGTTCAGAGCCTTCCAGCCTTTGGTGCATGAATGTGTAAGTACATCCCGTATTTGTTTATTCACCACTTATCTGCATCTTAAAATTTTCACTACATCTTTCATTCTAAACAAAATCCCCATGAAAGGTGTGTTTGGTATAGCAAGCATTGACACATGTTGTGATTTTCCATCATTCTCCCATAGGTGAGAACTATTACACTGTATTTTGGAATGGTAATGGCTTGGTAAGCAAGTCAGTAGTGAGTCAAATTGTACACCCAAGAGTGAATGCAATTCCTTCTGCCCTCTTGCTGGAGTACAGTATGAAGGAGCGCCTTATTTGGCCTTTCAAATATGTCATTGTGGGAAGATTAGTTCACATGTGCAGTGCAAACTTTGAATTCATTTCCTTTAGCTTTGCCTTAATCAGTTCTTTCTGCTGACTTTAAATAAAAGGAGAAGATAAATGAGGACAAGAAGAAGAAAAACTCTTTCCTTTTCTTTCATTGGCTCACCCAGTCTCATAACGAGTTGCGTTTTAGGATAGTCTTCTATAGAAGTTTCCTTGTGGAATCCTTAAACATAATAATTTCTGGTTAAACACAAAACCAAAAATGTTCTGAAGGTAACGTAGTATCTTCAGGATTTCTTGGTGCATAGATGATTTACATGAGGTGCAATGCCCAATTTAAGCAGCTAGTTAAGCCTACTCCTTAAAAGGATTATATATCAATGTTATGGCCATTTTCCTCCTTTTTTACAGAAATAAAACAAGGACTGTCTTTATAGTTCATTTTTAAGCAATTCTGATTTGTAAGAATAGTTAATAACAGCAACAGTAATGACATAGCAAGCATTTCTTGAGCATTTATGGTGTTTATATGCATTATTTTATTTGCTCTCCACAACAACCCTGGGAGCCTGAGGCTTTATCTCTGTTCCCATTTTGCAAGTGAAGAAACTGAGTGTTTTATGTAACTTGCCGGAGGGCACACAATTAAGTGGTAGCGTCAGCACCTAACCCCAGCTCCTGTTTTTCTCAAGTTTTTATGTAGTTACATGGGGTTAACAGTGACCTTCAGCAAAAATGTGACACTGATAGAACTGAGTACAAAAGAATTGAGGATGGTCCCAACGTTCACTGTCCCCGTTGTCCATCCCGTGGTCGTCCTCACCAGCCACGCTTTTGCAATCTGCGAACCAGTTTCCAGTTCAAGGCTCCCAGAGCTGCGTTGGCCAATAAGACGGCTAATTTATGCCATAAGCAGCTACTGACCCCTTAAGATGGGGCTGGTCCAAATTGAGACAGGCTTTAGGTGTAAAATACACACCGAATTTCAAAGAGTACTGCAGGAGGAAAGTGTCTTATTGATAATTTTTATATTGATTATATATTGAAGCAGTAACATAGTGGGTATATCAAGTTAAAAAATGTATCATTAAATTTAATTTCACCTTTTAGATCTCACCTTTTTTTTTTTTAATGTGGCTACTAAACTTAAAATTATCTGAGTGACTTGCCTCGCATCTCTGCTAGCAGAACTACTCTCCAGTCGGCCATGTTAAGTCCGGTGTGGAGGCGCGCACGTGCACAGGGACTCTTGCAAATGCTTGGGGCCAAAAGCGCTGGGGCTCATATCACAATCACCTGAGTCCTTTAACAAAGATTAGCCTGAGCCTAGCTCAGAGAATCTGATTTGTTTCAATATTTAAGTGCTGCTCTCAGCCATCTAGTTAATTTGAAAAACCTAATTTGGGCTAAAGTACTAACAAATAGACACAAATGGGTTAAAAATTACCTTCCTAGGTAACAAATTTGCATTTTAATACAGAGTCCCCAGAAGGTCAAAGCTGAAATTCCAGCAGTGGCTCTCTAGAGGAAAGTTGAACCTTTTAGGCAAACTAGTCTCCAGGGTACTTTTGGCTCTGGGGAGCCTCCGGGTCCCTCCAAGCTCTTCACGTAGGTATGGTATTAGGCACACACTTCCAAACAGGTTCTATGAGAACTCGCCTCGTGTGTACTGGCTCTACAGTAGATTCAGTAGCTTTAGGAATCTGCTTTAGAAATATCAGAGTCACTTTTATTTATTTATTTTTTTAAAAGATTTTATTTATTTATTTATTTGAGAGAGAGAGAATGAGAGATAGAGAGCATGAGAGGGAAGAGGGTCAGAGGGAGAAGCAGACTCCCCGCCGAGCAGGGAGCCCGATGCGGGACTCGATCCAGGGACTCCAGGATCATGACCTGAG